TTTTTTTTTTTTTTTTTTGAAAAAGCGAATGAAGTTAAACATGAATTTAAATGTAAATCATCAATGATTAGAGGAGAAGACAGAACGTTATTGACTAAAAACGGAAAATAGCAGAAGAATTAAAAAAAATGTTTAATGCACTATAAACCAACCCTAGTGAAAGGACAATTATTGAAGAACAGACCGCAGTAGAGCATAATATAGAGCCACCTTCAAGTAGAAATTGATTTGGAAATGTTCAAAAATGGAAGAGCGACTGGAAAGGATGAAATAATTTCTGAATGCATTAAAAAAGGAGGACAACAATTAAAAAACCAGATACACAATCTGATTATTAAAGTGTGGGAACTTGAAGAAATACCATGATAGTTACGTACATATATTCTATGTCCTAATTTTAAAAAACGAGACCTTATTTTAAATTTATATCTTACATTAAATTATTGGTGAATAAATAAAAAAGATAATAGACCATTGGCATAATTTTATGAAAAAATTTTTCCCTCGCCCTAATATTTTTAAATTTAAGGGGAAGTTACGATAACTTTTGGCCAAAACCAACCAATAAACATAGTAACAATAGATTAATGGACTAAAATTTGGCTATTACAGTAAAAATTGTTCAAATAATAAGTAAAATTATGATTAGAGCTTTTTTCCAGTCATAATTTTATTTATATTATACATTATCAAAATAAATATATGATGACTGCATAAACCCTCGAAAGAAAAAAACAAAACTTTTAAAATCAATTTAGTACTGTAAATATAAGAGATAATAAAATATGAAAGTATTAATTTATAAAAAACGCCTGTTAATCATTCTAAGTATTTATTAATGTTAATTCTTTGGACTTATTACGCAATATAACTAAATATCACTTGAGCTTTACAAATTATTTAAATTAATTTAATTTTTACTTAATTAATATTTTATTTACTGAAAGCTATTATTAATAGGAAAGAAAAAAATATATATGAGTGGTCAAAGCCCATTTAAAAAAAGTCGTCGTGGGGTAATTGCCTCAGACTACATTTTAGTCGTACGACCTTTTTTTTATACTCATTACATCCTAATTTGGAAATGGACGAACAATAAAAGAAATTTAAGGAGACTAACTTTGCAAATACAAGTTTTTATGCAATTAAAATATAATTGGTTTTAATAATACTAATTTTCACATTTAATTTATTGAAGGGTACGTTTATACAATAAACTTGAATCTAAAAGCCAGATTAGATTAGATTAGATACTTCAAAATGTATTGTATCTAAAACAAAATTTTATATTTTTAATAAAAAATTACTTAAATATTTGTATGAGCATACAAAATCATAAATTAAAAAAATATTAAAATTCTACTAAGAAAATAAAAAAAAAATGTTATACTTACAAGATGATACCAAGCTCAAAGTAAAAAACACAAAAAAACTTATAAAAATAATAAGGCATTCCAGTTTTGATTTTGCCATTTTTAAAAACATATCTAGCTCGCACTAAACATTTACTGATTTATGTTACAATTAAAAAATAAATCTAAGGCACTTAAATGCATTTCATGTAACACATACAACAATTTTTTTTTTCAAATTAACGTGTAATGTCAAATACGATCACAAGGACTCGCAAAAATAATGTTAAGTAAACGTGCAGGCGAATATAATACTGAGTAGATATAAGATCCATTATTATTTTTCATTTTTTATCTTAGTCTTATGAAAAACTACCTATAATCAACATAATGTTAGGTAGCCCACATTCCAGCTCAAAGGTCGTGTTTGTTTGAGATACGGCATCGTTTGAAATAATTATTGGGCCTCTATACCGTCATAGTTAATAATGACCATCATACAATTTGTTATATTGTAATATTTTAATTGTTGTATACAGAATGTAGAAAATATAAGATCTTAAATATATATGTATTTATACATTTACAATTTCTTTAAAATAACATTTCGGCACTGTCTACTAAAAAAATAATTCATATCATAATGATATGATAAGTATATTCATTTCATTGATATTAGTCGACAAAAATTAACAACATAACCTCAGAATTTATAGTATTAAAAATTAAACTTAACACTACTTTTTAAACGTACGTGAATTACTAGATAAATATCGTCACCTAAGAACCACAAAATAAATATTTTATTATAATATAAAATCAGGCCGAGGGTACGTCATTATTATGCTCATTAAATGGAATTAAATATGAAAACATTATTATACCGTTTCGTATGACGGTTTTGTCACTGTATCTTTTTAGTCTATCGGGTTAAATAAGTGGGAATTAGGCTAAAGTTCTTTACTCAGGGGGTTCGGGGGCGAATATATAATATGTAATTTTCCAAATACATTAGGACGAATATTAATGAAGTACGTTTGGCCTGGTAAAAATATTACATACAAACTTTAAAAATCTATAACTTTTTAACATTTTTGATCAATATTTTATTTTTACATAATCTTAATCGGTTTAAAAATCAACAAAAAAAATTGCGTAGAAGATAAACTACATTGTTTCATTTTGTTAGATGTATTTTTATTTTTAATCACGAATTAAGATAAAATTGACTGGACATGATATGGATTGGATTGGGGAGTTAGGAAAATACATATAAAATAGAAGATGACGCCGTTACTTCAAAATTACCCCTTCTATGGGAAGTATATAACAAAACCGGATTGCCTGATAAGGCTTCGTGTCCAGTCTACCTTAGTTCCTGTTTTTTTTTTTTAATAAGAAAACAGGTAATTAGGGCTTTATTTATAAATAATCTATTTTATTATTGTTTATCTATATGTGTGTGACAAAAATTTTAACTTTATGTAAGTTTTAAAAAAATCATTAGTTATCATGAATATTATAGGCCATTGGACTAGGTAAACATATATTTTATTTTTATTTGCCATTTTAGTTATATACATATATTTTGAAATATAACTAACAGTTTTTTCTTGAAATTTATATCATAAAAGTTTAGCTGTCTGCTCTAAGAGTTTAATTTGATAATTTGGGTGCATAAGATGATTAACATATATGAACCATTTAATTAAAAAACAAATATACTAATAATAATAGGTAATGATCTAATTAAAAAATAATTATTTGGTAACAACTTTTGAATCATTATTTCGGTATTGATTTGTTTATTCCTAGGCGGGAGAAAGAGTACGTCCAAGACATGGCTAGTTATAAATTTAGTTTTTTGTATATATCTTTTTAATTATTATAAATAGAAAAAAATCAACAGACTTAATAATGCAGTAAACAATAATGTAAAGAAAAAAGGTCTTGACAAATTTTTTGTAGTATACAATTTCAGTGTAAAAATTGAAATAAATATAAATATTTCAATGTATTTTGTTAAAAACTATTATCATCCTAATTCAATCAATTAATTCCCATTTAACTATATCTGCTTTCTCAATTTTGAAATAATATCTTGGTTATTTGACAAAAAAAACTATTAATGGCAAAACTTTCAACGAAAATCTACCAAATACAGACATACCACCTAAAGGCATTAAATGTCAAAAACCAGGCGCTTACCATTTGGCTAGATCGATGTGCAAAGCTATTTTTTGCCTCAAAATGTTTTTGTTCCAAATACAATGTCGTCCCATTCCATTTGAATTAAAATCATTAAAAATTATATGTTGTTTTGTTGTGAAATGTTATGTAAAATTTTGGTTTAAGGCTTAATGCTATTGAAGCTCTATATTATCGATATTTTATTTTTAAAAGCACTTGATGATTACAGATCTGATAATGCACAAGTAGCTTAATTAGCCATCAAAAAGTTTGTGAACCATTTATGGTACCTTGGAGAGGAAACTTCAATATTATCTATTTTTGATGACCGTAATCATTTAAATATAAAGAGACAAATGGGCAATCAAATCATAGACTACATAAATGACAAAAAAGATATAGAATTTTAAGGAGAACCCCAAAAAAAATTTATTTTAAAAACCAACGACGTTACAGAATTTTTAAACAAGAACCACCCTTTTAGTTAACTATCAACGAATTCAAAACAATTTTTCCAAAGGTTTCAAATCAGTACTATATATTTAAATGAAAAACCAGAATGTTGGAGCACAAATGAACATTATATCAATGGAAAAATATTTTTAAAAACTTAGGGTAGTTAGCGATGAAGAAGAACGAGGAGTAAAGCTGATGGAGTAATTTAATACAAAATTTACTAAAAATTAAAATAAAAAACAATATACTTTACACATAATTATTTAGAATTCAATTATCATTATACTCTCTATTATTATTCATCAATTAATAATTTATGTATTATAAAGATCGTTCGAGAGTACAGAAAAAAATATCAACAATTTTCTAAAGCCAGTTTTTTAAAAAATGTTTCACCGCAATAAATTTAAGTTTTGATATTAGATTTTAACAAAATACATTGAAACATTCATTATTTTTGAAATTTTTACTTTAAAATTATAGTACATAAAATTACGTTATAACTTTTTTTTTAATTTATTAAAAATTTATTTGCAGGTGCAATATTTTTGTATTTGCAGATTTATTGAGATAAACGTTAAAGACCAAAAAATACTGTTTTCACGAAAAATAAAATTAAACAGTTTTTATAGGTTAAACGTTGAACAATCAATATCACAAAAAATTCCTAAGGATTATTTTTCTTTAAATTATTATTTACTACATTATTAATTCTGTGAAAATTTTTCTATTTAATAATTAAAAAAATATATATAAAAAACTAAATTCCTAAATCTTTTTGTTAATTTTTAACCCCATTGATGCGCGTGAAGGGGTTGACCTAGGACGCTCAAAATTCATCAATATTTTCTGTATGCCGTAAACAAAATTCCGATCACCTGACATCAACTTTTCAAACTTGCAAAATAAGGCCACCCTAATAAATTACTAAGTAAAATGTAAAAAGATTTTATTAACCCATTTTCAATGTGCTTTCGATAAGGAGTACAAATCTACTACCTCCTCTAATACCTCATTACTCATTAGAATCATTAATTTTTGGAACTACCTCAGCGTAGTAGTTATTTATGCATAATCGGATAAAAAATGATTATTTAAGAATTATACACTTATTGCTCATTTAATGGGTATCTGTTTTTTTTAGATACTGTACAAAATTATTAAAAATAATAAGAATTCATAATTAATAATTTTTCATTAAAATAAAAAAAATTGCTAATATTAAGAAAATATTATTCGACTCGTTCAACGACGAAGAATTAGTATTTTCCTCTATGAAGTTACACTTGTGTTCCGAAAAAAAAACATATATAAGATCATTTAGAAACCCTCCATTGTAATTGCTACACGTAGATGATTGTGATTGAGCATTGCAATTAGACATTGAGATAATCGTCCGACTGTAAAAAGAAAAAAAAGTAACCATTATGAATAACATGATTTATTTTAGCAATATTATTATTTTTATTTGACAATTTGACATTAGGAAAAAAAATTATGTACAAAATAATGCTAAAATCAATATTTTAATATAAATTATTTATATCTTTTATCGGTGGCGTGCCCAAGGATATTTTAATATAGGGATAATACAAAAAAAAATTTTAGTAACTTTTTTAGTTAGTTTTTACCTACAATGTAGGTTTACTCATAATAAAAAAGTCATGATTCATGACCAATGGAAGGTGATTTTAGATGTACTGGATACATCATTGCCTTTTATATAATTTGAAATGTATCTTACATGCATTCCTTATAGTCAAACGCAGTTTTGAGTAAATCAACAACATGATGTATGTTCAACAATTCGCCAACACAAGTAATAAATTCTTTGCGGTTTAAACATTGAGTATTGAGCAAGCCTGTATATATTAAAATATACATACATTATTATTTTTCATCTATGAAAAATATTTATTAGACACACAAAGTAAAAAATATTATATAACAACATGGTTACAACAAAACTGATAAAAAATTAAATAAAAATAATAGTATAGCGTTTGATTATCGTTTTATACGTAACAATAAGATTGATAAAAATAAAAAGATATATATTAGATAAGTGGATAAAATTACATAGTTAAATTTAAAGACATTCAATTACTATTGAAACCTAATATTTGTTTTTATTAAAAGTTGCCAATACTAAAATTTAAATGTAAATCGTTGATGAATATATGAAGGGTACAGGGAAAAAACCGACTAAGTCACTTTTTTTCACAAATGAATATTATGGTATCATTAGTTTCAGCTAGAGACACTGCACATTCTGACAGGTCGAAACAGGAAAATAATCAACTATATTAATAGATATTAGCGCTCAAAGTTTTGGTGTACAGGGAAAAAACCGACGAAGTCACGTCGTCCAGTGTACTAACTGCTTAATTCAACATTTTGAGTGTAGATTTCAGTACGATTTTAGAGGTAATTAGAGAAAAGGCAAGTGTTATTAATCTGTTGTTATTGCGGCGTGACCGGCGTTTTTCATAACGTGTTTAACTACAGTTGTTGTATTAATATAGCGTTGTACATAACGGCTTCAAGTTTTTGAATTATATTTGGTAGTTCTTGTCATACAAGCGCATTATGTCTGAAATAAGTGAGTCAGAGGGCAATGTAGTTCTTAAAACTCAAGCACGAAAAAAGAAAAGGACTGGTCGCTTATCAGAAGTAAGTAAAAAAATAAAATTATCGTCACATGAAATGGGAGGTTCTTGCAAATGCACTCGATTGAAATGCTTTGAAACAACATCAGAGGAAGAAAGGAAAATGATACTGCGCCATTTTAACTCACTTAGCTCACATAATGATCAGAATAATTATTTGGCGGGTTTGATTGTAACGCACCCAGTGCAAAAACGCAGGCCTCGACTAAATGAAAGCAGTGCCACAACACGTGATGCTTCTTTTTCGTACAGGGTACGAATCCAGGGTGAAAATTCTGTCCAGAGAGACATACCTGTCTGTGAAAAAGCATTTCGTGCAATTCATGGTATAACACACAGTAAACTTGTTTATATAAAGAACAGTCTAAAGTTATATGGAGTTGCTCCTCAGGATAAGAGAGGTAAACACAGCGCACTTCATAGAAAACTAGCTGATTCGACCACTTCTTTAATTTACAATCATNTCATATGAAAATCAATTACTAAGAAGCTCTCGGTAACTAAACATGATAATTATTTCACAAAGTATCATTTAAAATAAATCAACTGATTTATTGATACTAAAAAATATTCAACTACTATACCTCGATGAGAATAAAATTTATGGAATTTAAATAGATTTATTCAGTTTTTTATCGTATAAAAAATAAAAATATTTTTTGACATATATTTTTTCAGTTTAGAACTCAATTGTCTACAAAGTTTTATGTATTTAACTCATAGAACAAATTATGTATTAGTTTCTCCTAAATTTATAAATTAAATTAAAAATAATAAAATTGGATAATGTTATTAACAAAAGAAAAGAATATTAATATTTAATGTTATGTACTAAATTGTTTCGTACATAATTTACTTGTATTATATGGTATTATTCTAACATTTTTATTGTATATTGTATAATTGTATTTTGCACAACAAATCAAATTTGTCATTGGATCTTAAATGAATTAAAATGATTAAATTTATTAATATCTATTGAATTAACCAAATCGAATATTAAAATGTGAAAAATATCAGTGAAATATTAATATTTATTGAAACTCAATTAATACCGTTAATATCTACTTTCGTTTATAATCGTTAATTCGAAAAAGATCGAATAAGTTGGTGTACCGGTATTTACAACAACTGGTAATTATAAATACAGTCAAATCGCAATACCGGTACTTTTTCGGCACATCGAAAATGCCATCAGCCCGAAAATAAGCAACTAACTTGAAGTAGCATTTAATCTAAATTGTGATGTGTGAAGACAAGCGTAAGAATGAACAGCTCGCAGACCTTTGAGCCATGAATTGAACCTGTCTATACCATCTGATTTTGAACAGTCGCCATCAATAATATCGGCTGAACACTGCAAAGAATCGTCAAATAACCTATAACAACAACAATTCAACGTAAACATTTTAATTTTCAGAGTTCAAACTATTTATACTAAAATAAATACTTACTCGCAGAATTGTTCGGGATCTTCACATTTAACATTTCCATGACATGCTAAAGAAACTGCTAGTTCTTTAAAACAAGAGTCAGCCAATTTTGGTAAACATTGGTTGGATGAATCAAAATCAGCATTTTCTGTAACATTATTAAAAAAGCTTAATATTAGAGAATAATAATGTATTTCAAGGAATCCGTTTTAAAATTATTACCTAGCCCATGTATTAGTATAACTTATTTAACCGTTTAACATGTATGTAAAATCCCATAACAAAAAAAAATAAAAATATAGCTGACTTGGGCTTGTCTAAGTAAATGATACTATCAATTAATTTAAAATACAATAACTAACTATTTTAGAAATATACTACTATTACAATATTGTAAGTCTTATAAGAAATTAATTTTAATTGTAAATAGGAAATATAATTATAAAATAAACTTAACATTATCAATGGCTATTAAATATCCTAATAAATATTTGTAACTAACTTTAGCGTCTTGTATAGTTTTCCTATATAAATAATTTTAAATCATGTGTTTGTCTATAGTTCTAAAGTCGTTTGATAGTTTGATAGATTCTTTGGAAAATCTTTTGACCAAAGTTACATAAATAAAAATTATACTTTTTAGAATTAAAAATAAGTAATCATTGTACAACAGTTATTTATTCGTTTTAATACGTTTTTAATGTTTATATTAATTATTACCTTTTTCTGTTGATGACAGATAGATTTGACATAGTAAGACAAACACAATAAACTTAAGCATGACCAGATTAATTACCTAATAAATATTAACTATTTACAATTATTCTAAATTACAGTTTTAAGTAATAAAAAAATATTTTCTAGTTATCCTTTTAAATATCAAAAAAAAAAAATTAGTTTGCCAGTCAAAGTGCATACAAATGTATGAACAGTAGACGACTGAGTTCTACGGATGCTATTTGCGTAGGCTAAATAATCAAACTAAAATATTTATCAATTTTTAGTTCTGGAATAATAACATTTATTAATTTAGAAATTATAGTACGCTCAATTTCATATCGTCAAATTTGTTGATTTAATTTCATGTGGACATTTATGTGTATAATTAAGTAGGAGTAAAGTCCTCGTCAGAAATAATTAAGGTAATAGGAGGGCACATCATTTTACTCACAGACAAACGTGCATGAATTATTAGATGATTATCAGAGCAACTAAAATCTTATCTTTTTATTTTTATTTTTATAAGAAAAATAAACTAAAATTTTGTTTTTGTTAAAAATAATAACTAAGAATTTGCAAATAAAAAAAACTGATACTTACGAACTGTAAAAAAAATCAATATGATGAAAAGAAAAATATATATCTCTTTGATACCAATAAATAAATCAAATTAAAATGCAATATAATAAAAAAATATAATTATAACAAAATATAAATAAAATTTATATATAAATTAATTTAATACTATAATTATAATTATAAAAAAATATAAATGTTAATATTATTGAAAAATATAAAAATTTATTAGCCTTGAGTATTATAAAATATTAAAATTAAAATTAAATTAGAAATGTTTATTCAAACCATTTTAATGTAGCTAAAAATTTACTTTTTTCAACCTTCAATAAGCAAGATTAATATACTTTTATGGGTTTAAGATCTTTTTTATGTTATTACAATATAATATAATTTAGTTGAAAATACGAAACAAAAATTAACATTAACAATATGAGTATTTGTTTTATAAAAACATTTTATAATTGGTAAAGCTAAATAAAAAAACGGTATCAGGGCCAAATTAAGAGATCTTGGGTCCATAGACTTAAAGGGCCCAGTTTTAAATTTTGATAGCTTACCATAATTAGTAATAATGACTTTTTTTGCTAATCACTTTAGAAGTAATGTGTCTTATAATGGCACATCTCAAAATACCACCACAGGGTCCATATAGTTCTTTATCCGTCTTTTAATATGATAGAAATTTAATGAAAATAATTTTTGGGGATGTAAACTTATTATACTTATGCTGTTGAGATTTAAAATATAAGCCATGCAATATTTTTTCTGATAAAGTTTAATAGAAAAACTTGGTAAAAAGTTTTGATCACGTCGATTATTTTAGATTACATTGAATTAGTACACTATCATTGGAGGAATAAAATTAAAATCTAAAATTAAATATGTACTTTTCTAGCGAGATAATATTTTTATTATTTATGCCTAACTAAATACTATTTTTAGTTATTTAATATTAAACTTTATCGTTACAACATCCATTGTTAAGATCTCTTAAATAGAATTTAAACAACTTTCTATCACACGAACTGAAGTAATAGAAGTCTAAAAGTTATTACTTATATTTTTACTTTATTTTTTCCTTATTGACGTAACATTTATAATTTGAATCATTCTATTTTTAAATAATGAATAAACTTAAAATTATACTTATTATTAGACAAAAAATATTATTAGTAAATTATGATTTTGTCATTTATATTCAGTGTACAATTTGAAGAGGTATAATTAGGGTTGGATTTAGAGTATTAGTCAAATATCGAAATAGGACCCCCTTGGTTCTTAAAAAAAAAACATTCTGTTTATGTGAAAAAAAAATGAGTGCCGACATTGAGAATGTAGAGAAGTTGGCAAAATTCAATATGAAATAATGGGAAGCGAGTAAGATGAGAGAAAAAAAATTACATCGTATACTAAAGGAGACAGAACTTTCCCTGTGGAAAAGGGATAAGAATACTTCCACGGCCCCTCTGCCAGTCGTAAGAGGCGACTAATAAGGTTGTGTCAGGTCGACGGCCGGTGTAAAAATCTTTGTCTAAAAAAGTATGAGGAATCCTGAACAAAACTTAGGCGGATAGCTGTAAGAACAGTTATAGAAATGAATGTTGAAGGAAGAAGGGGTAGAGAAAGACCAAAAAAAGAGATGGAGGGATGCTATTGAATGCGATTTGAGGACAGCTGATGTGAGCGTAGATGATGTGGGAGATCGTGTCAAGTGGAAGTTTAGGATAAGGGTGGCCGACCCCAATTAGTTGGGATTAAGGCGAGGAAGAAGAAGACTAAAGGAGACAGAACAAGATTTTGCTAGTCATAGTACAAGAAATCTATAAAAAAAAGTCAATTTTTTAAATAAGGAAAATAAATATTCCAAGAAAGCATTAAAAATTGATGATGAAACGCTAATCAAATCTAAAGAAATTATAACTAATAAATGGGCGAACTATTTTAATCAGCTATTGAACAGTAAAATACCAGATAGTTAATTCCAATTTTCTAATATAGAAATCAATCTGGCAGCAAGTAAGGAGAAACTTCAGAGACAAATAAGAAACCTAAAAAATCATAAGGCATCCAAAGAAGACGGTATTCCAGGTGAATTACTTAAAAGTGTGGAAAACAGTTAGATTGACTATGTGACTGAACTAAAAAAAATACACAGGAAAATATTTTAAAAAATTAGTCCAGGAGATACTTTTATTGAAGTGAGATTAGATAGAATTAGATAGCAGATTAAATAAAATCGAATTATCTAATCTGCAATAGTTAAAAAGACTAATGTAGGTAAATTAAATATAAGTCAAAAAGTTTACCAATAGTGCATTAAAGCTACTCAAATTTTGGCTATTTTTTAAAATTCCATTAATATGCATTGACTCTTATGTATACATACATAACCAATTATTTGATACAATAACTATTGTAAAACGTGCTGCGATAAGATGAATCTATCACGATTGTACAATACTCAGTATTAAATCATATTGTAATTATTCTCTATTTATCTAAGAATAAGAAATTCATATTTATACTTATATTATTTAATTTTAGACTTGAATTTAAATAATCTTATTATATATTCATTACAAAAAGAAAATCGTTTGATCTTAGAAAAAAATAACTGAAGTCTACTTCATTTCAATTTTTTTTTTTGGAATATTGCTAAATGCTTTTAATATCATATTTTGATTAAAATAAAACTAATAAAATAAAAAATATTTTGGAGATCAATAGATTTTAAGAAATTAACTAAAAATTGCCTATGATATTTGTACTATTTCAAATTTTTGAAACATTTTCCTGGAAAGTTAATCAAATTGGCTTAAAGTACCTTTTACTAAACCTAAAATTTAGTTAACAATGTATAATATAATTTCTTTATTTTATTATTATATATTTTTATACTTATTAATTCAAATATTTACGTCATCCCAAAAAAGGGTATTATAATTCCCTTTTTAGCAAGCTTTTATTTGTCAATTTTAATGTTTATTATTTTAAAAATTCATTTAATTTACATAAAAATATTGCCTAACAAAACTAATTTTTTTTTAGAATATAAGTTTTTATTTTGAAATTCATAGAAATAAACATACATGGTTTTGGGTATTATACTATTGTTTGTGCCACTAAATTACGTCATATTGCAGCGCACTGCCCAGTGACACCGCTCCTTCCATCCCTCTAATCTAAGAACGGTATCGGTCGCTTATCACTACCTTGTCCTTGCAGTGTAAAATATACTGTTATCAGAAATAGGTTATGAAATAAAAGTTTTGTTTTGCTATTAATTGTAAAAATTTTATTTTCACAAAAAAGACTTAAATATATTAAGATTACATATAATCTTGAATGTATAAGATTTGAATAATAATATCTAAAAAAGTACTATAAATTGTAGAAAATTTAATTAATCATTGGAGTATTGTAGTTAAACCTTCAGGTAATAATATTTCTTTTGTTTCACGTCTGGATGTTAGATCCCGAGACTCATCGCCCAACCACAAACTGATAAAACGGTAACCATAACAGTGTTCATTGGGTTGCCTGACTGTTAGAATTCAAGGGAAAGAAGTACCAATAATATTAATTTCATCATTATAATTATAAAATAATATATATTATAATTATTATAATATAAAAAAAAAGGAACAGCAAAAATATATAATATATAATAATACTTTTTGATAATAATTGTTTTTTTTAATATTTTAATTATTAAATGAAAATTATTATGATAATAATCTCCCAAATTAATTTTTTCTTAACTTATAAAATTGAAAATGTATAACGAAAATCCTTGTAAAAATAACAGTCATATATAAAAAATATAATATAAATATATATTCTAAAGTAAACATAAATATATAAGTGCGTATGCAAAAAATATTTATAACATATACAACAATTTAATACATTATAAAACTATATAAAAATGTATACAATTGAAAGGATCCCATATAACACAACTTCCACTCTAAACAAAATATAACATTTATATAAGAAATATCAATACTCACAAGTATTTATACATTCAAATACACTTAGGATCAATTCCTTAAGTCGTGTCAAGACATTGATCAAAATTTCCTATTAGAAAAAGTATTTATAAAGGATACAAACAATGCAATAACCCTCTCCCAAAGAAACTATCAATATTTCAGAAATATTGAAATCCTATAAACCGATATGTACAAATACACATTGGCATGTATTAATATATGATGTAGAAATCATTATAGGGGGCAATAAACCCATCACTTGTACTCTGCGAAATTAAGTTTTTCTAATAGAAAATTTTACAAACATGTTTACTATATCAATACAAAAAAATTAGTTTGTTTATTGTATAAGTTAATTTTAAACTTAATAATTTATTTAATATTTAGATAAAATTCATAATTCTATATTAAAATATTAGTCATTGATTGAACTTATAAATGTAATATTATTAATTTAAGTAAAAACTATTTATTTAAATACAATATGAAAATATATCTGATGGTTCCCTCCTCTTTTCTCGACTGGGCTTGGGACCAGCTTTGGCAGAGTTACCCCATCAGATAACGAGTATCTAATAAGGACGTCTTTCCCTAAAGACGTGAACGCCTTTCCCTAAAGACGTTAAGCCTTTCCCTAAAGGCTTTAGCGTGGATTTCTTTTCTGATCAGAAACTCCACTATGTAATGTACTCACCATTGGGCAGTCTANTATAATGTAGACTCACCATTGGGCAGTCTACATCATGTTCATTATTAACAAATTAGTGCTTTCCAGTGGCCCGTCTAACTAATGTTTATATGGAAAGGGGGTGTATATCATAAAATTCGCCGAATGAGCATTTTAAATTTTANTTCGTCGAATGAGCATTTTAAATTTTAAGTTGCTTTTTTTTATGTCAAATTTTCACTAAAGAGTCAAAACTTAAAAAATAAAAATGTACAGCAACCATTAAATAGCATCACAGTCATTTCTAACACTAGTCTTGGAATAGTATATACTATCATAAAAGATCAGATGTTTAATGAGTCGATGGAATTTAGTGAAGATGAAAACGAAAAATAATTATAAGATTAAATTGTAGCACTAATAAGTTAACAACTAACACACACAGATTTCTTTCCCAATCAGAAATTCTGTGACAATATAATTAAATACCATTTGCAGAACAATGTCCAAAGATCCACTTGATATCATTGTCAGGCAATGGATCTTTTTTCGGTAAACAATTGATATGTAACCATCGAGTACAAGACTCACATTGTACCATTTCTCCACTTCTTTTGTCAATCTTTTTGCTTTTCTCGTTAAAACTACCTTCATCAACACCACAGATTAGACAACTGTTTTTCATACACTCCGATTTACTCAAAATCAAATTTTGTAATTTCTTTCTGTAATCATTTGGATCGAATTTGTTCATAATTATTTTATTTGTCATCAATTGATCTGCAAAATATAACATAAAAACGCCACAATTAAAACTATCATTTTGATAGGGTATAGTCACATCATTTATCTCCCACTCTGTAATATTACCAATTACTTGTACTCTATTCCAACTCATTAGCGTTTTTTTCAAACTATTTAAAACTTTAACTTTCATATTAATTTTATGTGATAAGTCTTCATGACCTAATCTAGAAGAATTTAAATAACTTACTTTTTTTTTAGTAAAATCTACTAACATCAGTGTCCAATGGCTATTATTTTCTNAATAAAATCTACTAACATCAGTATCCAATGGCTATTATTTTCTAATAAAAGAATAAGTACTCTATAAAATTCAATCCAACCCATACCTTCAATTTTACCATTTTCATTTGGAGGTTTAATTTTTTTCCCCAAATTGATCATATAGTACGATATATCTGGACTCATACATCCCAGCATCTGTTGTTTTTGTTTGACCCAAGTTCGTTCACTTCTTTTTAGACAAATCTGTAACAAACACCAAATTTCTTTATTTTCTAACCAAAGTTCATTATTTTCGCCCTTAGTATCTAAATGTTTGAAGTCTTCAGAAGATATTTCAACCGTCTCATTTCCAAAAGACATTCTGGCAACTATGTAATTTTTACACCCCGGATAACCATGCATATAATATAATCCATCTTTAATTAAATTACTTGTACGGTACATCTTATACTTCCCAACTGGTAATTTATCTCCAGATAGCTCCCATACTACAGTATGACCATAGGATATAACAGAAGAATCTTTATTAGTGTCGTTTTTATATTTTTCAACTAAATCAAGTGTTTCGTTTATACAAACAACATTTAAAATTTCTGTATTACTATAATGAGCATTACCAATGTCCTCTGAAGGTTCAAAATCTTTTTGCACATCTACCTCAGAAACAAACTTTCGATTCAACACTTCATTTGTTTTATCATTTTCTCTTATACTTTTAGTATTTTTGAATGTATTCATACTTTTTTGTGGTCTTAAAATAGTTCCAAGTTAACAAGATTAGAAGGTTTTTTTACCTTTTTTAAGCCAGAATTCTTTATCATTCAGGTGCAACTCATCATCATTATTAGCATTATATTTAGGTCTGATTGCAAGCACATTTTTAGGAATTATCAATCCACAACGGCTCCAAATAGCAGTTACCCGTGCACTGGTTTTTTCAATAAACCTTCCACATTTCATTTTTCTTTGGTTACCTAGAACATGATTTTTAATGATATTAAACCAACTTTCTGCAGTTGCGTTGCTCTGACGTTTTTCCAAGCCAATTTTTGCTGTTATCACTCTACTCCATAGTGGAATGTAGGGTATATTCTCAATGAGAAAATGTAACAAATATGTCTCAGAATACATGTCATTTTTTCCCTGGTCATCAACCGTATTGGATATTTCTATGTAAACAGCATCTAATATTTCTTTGAAATCATAATAGAAAGCAGATTTCTTACACTCAGCATAAAATGGTTTTTCATTTAGAGGGTTCACTACATGATCTTTTAGGTCCATTTCTTCCAATTTTAATACTTTATTGCCTTTAAAAAGAAAATTCATTTCTGCCCTAGCACTATTACATAAAGGTGTTACATTTTTGGAAAGAAGTATTCTGCTTAATAGTCTGAACCAATTTTTTATCTCTTCATAATTATCCATATCAAATACGAGCCCAACACATTTTGATACATAATATGCCTTGCTTTCATCATCAAAAATTGTTTTTGCATGCTTTATAACATTTTTTATGTAATGGTTGCTGCATGTACTTACTACAACATCATTGTCTGGAAATTTTACATTTTTTTTTGTTAAAACTTGATGACACAAATCAAGGTATTCAAAAATATTATTTTTGTTATTCCACGCTTTGGATATTCCATGCATGAAAGCCCAACTGAAGTCTGTAACAACATTCTTGAAAGGGGGCCATGAAAGACCAATTTCATTTATAAACTTTTCTTTGAATGAAGTCAGCCAACTTTCAATAGTTAGCCTATCATGTGTACTGCTTATCATTTCTGTTACTGGACAAATATTTTCAATTTTGTCTATCTGCACAATTGCAGCATAATAATAAATGGTTTCTTTTTTTTCATTAGGTGGCCTAACCAAAGATCCTGTAGCATCTATATGAAGAGTTTTAAATTTTCCACTTTTACTCAATTTTTGTAAAATCAACAAATGATAATCAGAGGTCCATTTCTCATTAAATGGATAAGGATTAACAATCATATTTAACCATTTATTTTTTTCTTCCTGCGCCATAAGGACTACATCAAATGAATCATGTTTATCATAATCTGCCTTTAATTGTTGTTCACTACTCAATTTACGTAATGTCGTTAATGTTTTGACAGACTGCATGTTTCCACTTCGTAAAACTTTAGTGGGCGATGCAGACAAAATACATTCATCTTGATATTTAAATGCAGTTGTATTTTTTAATTTATCACCTATAATTTTTCTTTCGTGTCCTCTTATCTNTCCTTTTGTGTCCTCTTATCTGACAAGTCATGCGATCCTTTGGAGAGTGACTGAAATTTCGACTAGAACTCCATACAACAAATTCTACACCACCATTACTAGGCGTCACAAAAAGCTTCATTACTTTACAATCTGGCATCTTACAATATACATTAATCTTTATTTCACCTTTCTTATTGGCATTGAACTTTTTCTTAATGTACAATATACAAGTATTGTTAATAGATTCCAAGTACTTCCTAAATACCATTGGATAGGTTTTGATATCTAGTTTACCATTTATATAAATTTGTTTCCATTCTTCTGGTGGTATGAAAAAAACTCCTTCTTTANAAGTTTTGATATCTAGTTTACCATTTTTATAAATTTGTTTCTATTCTTCTGGTGGTATGAAAAAAACTCCTTCTTTAAAATTGCACGCTTCATATTTACTTCTTAAAGACTTGGACGATACATTTATTGTACCTTTGGGGAGACCAAATTCTTGACATATGTTCAAATTTCTTTTCCTTAATCTTTTCAAAGGACTTTTGACTGGACTTATATCTAGTCCTCTTAGTTCACCTTTATTTCTCAGCAAACTTATCATTTCCGGACGGCTAATAACCTCATCATCGCAAAATAACCTTTTTTGACATCTGTCCTTGCTCAATATATTCTTTCTTGAAGGTGTGACAAAAAAGTCTTTAGTATTGATATTTGATGCTGCAATGAATTTCTTGTTATTCCACAATTGGCTTGTTGGACAGCTGTCCATATAAAATATTTTTTAGGAGGTGTAATAAATGCATTACTCATTGTTGTATGCGATTCGGTTATTATTTCCTCAGATGAAGGTATTACGGTAATTTCAGGTTCCTCAACAACTCTAATACAATTTTCATCAACATATTCATAGACTGGTGTATTTAATACATAATACTCTTCATTATTCATAACATTTTTAGATGAATCATCAATCACGGCATTATTTTGCAAAAGTTTAATACTTAAGTTACTTTCAATACTACAGTTTATTTCTTCCATATTAGTATCAATAAATTCATCATGACCCATATTTGTCACAGACATCACATCCAGATTATCATCATTATTAAGCAAATTGTCATGCTAAAATATAACAAAATCATTAAAACTAATTTCGAGTTAATGGGTTAGCAAAGATAGCTGATTAAAAAAAAATAATTTTTTGATAGGCCTACCCCTCAATTCATTTTAATTATTTATTAAAATCTAAAAATTAGTCATAATTTAATTTGACCTCGTAAAGCAAAGATATTTGTAAGCGCACTACATTAACCGACAGACTAATTGAATATTTAAGTTTAATTGTTTGAGCGAAGTCAACGCTGGGTGAACAGTTGTATCACTTTTACAAGTAGAACCAATATATGGTACTAATGCAATTACCAAATTTATTTTGTATGTTCTTTGGGGACTGTATAAAGAGTAAATTTAAATGACAACAGCTAGAAAGAAAGTTAACTAAAGATATGATTTTTATTTCTATGCTTACAAGTAAATAATTTTCTTATTGACAACAACTAGGTAAATAACTACATTTATGACAACAAAGTTACTTTATGATTACAAGTGAAATAGTTGATTTTGTACACTAGAAAACAAAATGATTACCAAACTATTGTTTCAAACCAATCATACAATAAAAAATCAAGTAGATTAAATAGACTTATACAACTAGTAACAAATTACAATCTGATATTGAGTTCTCAAGCAACATGTATAAGTACATGTGACAATATATTAAATATACCTAACATGTTTAAAAGTGTGTATTACAACTAAATTTTTTAATACAATGTTTTAAAATTAATGAATTATCAACTCAACGAATTAATACTCATTTGATTTTAAGATGTAAGCTAATTCTAAACTACATGTACAAAAAAAATAAAACTAATAGGAGCGAGCAATTCATCAATGGAGTATGTCATATAAGGAACTAAAATGAGATCAATTTCTAATATTCAATTTTGTGAGGTTTAGTGTGATTGTTTAATTTGAGAATCTAGATAGTTTCTGAGAAGACAAATAAGTTTAAGTTGAGGGATTACAAATGTGAGTATAGACAAAATTTGTGAACAAAAATTAAATTTAGCGACTGATCGACAATGGATTTTAATAATTATAGGTAGTTTTACATGACATATTGTCAATAAGTAAAACAATTTTGAGATTCAACTGGATAAAGTTTTACCACCCACCTCCAAGAAGTATTAGAACTCTAGAGAATGATTTCAACACTATTTTAAGATTTTGACTTGACTATTTAATGTACTATTACAATATCTTTTTGATATGACAACAACAAATGTGTAATAATTATCTTGTATTACCAATTAATCAATATTTAATAAGAAATTTGAAATCAACCACGAGGTTTCTAAACTTGATTTTCGAATTTAAGTTAGGAAATAATTGTAAGCAAAGTTTACTATAAATTACAATAATAATAATGTGAATTACAGTTACAAATTTTGCAAATAAGATGATAGCAATGATGGTTAAATAAGAAAATTTAACAATTGAATGAGTTAAAACAAAACCAACGGCGAAGGTCACAGGAATCGAAGATTCATAACTGGTCCAACAGCAAGGCAATCCAAAAACGAATGTTGAGAGATTTTTAAGCGCATAACCGCTACCCCGACAGACTCATTTGACCAGTGATAAGAGAAGTAATGGGTGACCATTCAGTGTGACCACAATTTAAAGATAAACTTTGCTGAGCGCAAACAATATTAATAATACTTCTTTGAAACAAGCACACTCTACAAAATTGTGCATAAAACTAATATTTTTATGAAAATTTTCATATCAATGAGTTGGCAATGGAAGTTATATTACAAAAAATATCATAATTTATTTATTTGGATATTTAAATCAAATAAATACTACAAAAGATTTTTTTTTTAATGTTGATTTTTTTAATTGGAATTTTTACCAGTCACATCATAAGTTACCAGTGAAATATAGAAAAGTTAGTATTAATATAATTTTATTATTTATGAATAATTACCTTTTGAATATTAGAATTTTCAGTCACACATTTTTCCACCTATTCATTTTTATTTAATTCTTTTATTTCAGTTGCATAATTTGCAATATTGTTTTTCAATCCAGTAGTTTTAAATTCATTAATAATTCTAGATATACTTAACCTTACTTTTTCTATGATCAAAATTTTTTGAATCTTGGACTTTTTATTAAAATTAAAACCTAATTTCTTACAAACTTTTAGAATAATGTCTGAATTCACATATGTAACATTTACAATTTGATTCAATAAAATACACCTTACTTGATCTATGAAATTTGTTTTTTGATCCTGGATTCCATTATAAACATTCAAAATATTACATCTTCCTTCCACTAAAATCTGAAAACAAAATCAATTTACTTCATATAAATTATTTTTCAAACAAATTTTAAATAGTTATTACATAAAAAGAAATTATAAGCGGAGCTCTCGAATAAATTACATTAGTTAATCATACTAAGAAAAACAACATGATTCAACCTCTATTCTCTAAGTATTTATATATATATAAATTTAAAATAATATACTTTGTATATAATGATATAAGTCTTAATAAAACAATAATAGAAACTATTGCATAGTTATTATAAAAAAATAATGTAAACCTAGTTCCTTAGTTAAATCATATATTTAACTTACAAGAGCAATTCTTTGACGTGAAATTGATGACGTATTTTTCAAACATGCTTTGGCAGCAGCATAGATAACTTCATCACCAATTTTAATATTTTTCCAAAAACATGGATCACATTTATATTTTTTTAAAACTGCTGCCAATTTTTTTAAGTTTATTTTGGGGGCCATTTATATGGGTCACCTAATTACACCTGAATTCCTAAAAATTTATCGAATTTAATAATAAATAAAATTATATTGTAAAATGATAAAAAATGAAAAATATATATTTCATATATTGTAATATAGTTTATAACCATAAACCAAAAATACAATTTTTTTTTAAAGCTTTATAGACTTGCAATTATCTGTAAAAAAAAAAAATAGTATTTAATTAATACTTTTGAAATCTTAAATTTGCTTATACTTTTGTTGTTTGAATTCATCATATTTGATATTTTTAATTTCCTTTACATATAACATATTAAATAAGCCATTTTCTTTGTTAGTAAATTTTTTATGAGACATGGTTTTTAATTGTCATGTTTTGCTATGACAGGCTTATGTTTTGATATTAATTCAACATTTTTACAGGTAAAGAATATTTTAAAATGAAAATTGTGTATAAATTTACCTTATGAATATGTTATTTCATAATTATTACTACTAATAATATATATTATTACTTAAAAAAAAAATTAGTGGAAAAATTAAACTTATCATGTATAGAAAGCTGAAGGTCCTTGGACAGCTCAAAAATGTAGAAAATTACACTTTTTGTTATATATAAAATATTTTTCATGGTGTGGAGAATAATAAATTTAGCCTTTTGAAAATTTTATTCTTGTTACAATTAAGTTTAAATTTCCTTATGAATTATTGAAAAATTAGATAATTAAAACCATGACTAGACTTTTATAGTAAATATTATACAGATTATAAAAAACGTGGAACGGCGGTAGAGTCAATTTCTNATTATACAGATTATAAAAAAACGTGGAACGGCGGTAGAGTCAATTTCTAATAAATATATGGGAGTAAGAGTAAAACTGGTGCAAGTCAATATTAAAGATTTTTCAGTAGTCTATTGAAAAATTAGTTAATATGGTATTGATCATACGAGAGACCTGGATCGAAATATACCTAATATCAATAGTACTCTTCACATATTAAAATGAAAAGTATTTTCTCAAATTATTATCAGTTTC